CTGGGTGTGGCCAGAGGAATTCTCCCAGAAGTTCCAAGTCTGCTTCTGCTCCTGGTAGCTTCCTTAGAGCCCTGGTGGCTATGAGCTCACGGATCACAGTACTGCACTGCTAAGTGGAATGCCTTTCTTTTACCCCTTTGTTGATGTCTCTCTCTTTTCCCAGGGAGATAAACAGAGGAAAGAGATAGAAGTAAGTGTGAGGAAAGATGGAGTGTATAGTGAGGTGGTATAGAGCACAGACCTGAACTGTGAGCAATTTATTATATGACTTTTAGCAAATATCTTCCCCAATATGAATCATTTCCTAATCTATAACATGAGTATGTGAGAGGAGATGATCTCTAAGGCCCTTTTATAGATGCCATTCTTGAATCTTGTGATTGCTAATGGGACAAAGGAACCATGTTAGACAAGGCTGAGGCCACAAAGCTATCCCTGTCTTATCCATCCTAACCCTGTTAAATCAATTGCCAATGGCCTTTAGACTTTCCTTCTGGTAGTAAGAGCCATTTTTTAAAAGCATTTTTTATTTATCAAATAGTTAACTAAGGACTTTACATCCATTAACTCACACATTCTCACAACCATATGAGATAGGTATGATTATACTCATTTTGTGGATGTGAAAAACTGAGGCTCATAGAGTTGAAATGACTTACCCAAGGTTCCCAGTTAGTAAGTGAAAAACAAAGATTCAAGTGTATGCTTAACCTAAGAGCTTATGTTATTAACCGCAGTAGTCTGAGAACAAAGTCTGGGAAGGAGAGGCATGGACACTGACTCCTATGCCTGGTCCTCTTCTCAGGTCGGGGATCCAGGAGGATGACAAAATTGCTGGCTTCCCACAGCATATTTGCGTCGACTGAATTTTGGGTCTCCTAGAAATTCCATAGCTATAGGACTCAGTCTCAAGCAGCCCTCAGCTGAGAACTGGAGCCTTAACTGCAGTCTCAACAGAACGTTCCCTACATGTGCTCAGAACCCCTCCAGAAGGACTCTTAAGCTTATTTCCTTCACATCCTTATTCTAGTGCATAGGCTGTTCCCTTCAGCCTCTGAAGGTTCCCTGGGGAAGATGGACTTCATTACTGCTTTCTCTCATTTTCCTACAGGACAGATTTCCCAGGAAGACCTTGCACTCCTACCGAAGCTCATGGCCCAGCCTCCTGCAGTGCCACGCTCCGTGTATTTGATAAGCTGAGTTTAACACTCCATGTGGAAAAGTGTCAGTTTGTCAAATACCCCAAGTGCGGCATATGCCTAGCAGCTACAAGCCAGGGCAGATGTGAAAGGACAAATAGATGGCCGGCTGGATGTAAGAAGACTTGCTAAACACCAACTAAGTACTCTTAAGTTATTTTCTGTGATCTTGAGGAAACTGAGGCACTTGTACCCTGCCAAAGGAAAATTGAGGCAGTTTTGGAATGTGTCTGCCCACATCACTGGAGTCTCAAGGCTTGAAAAATCATAAGGGTCAAGGGGTAAAAGTGTTCCTTGTCCACTACTCTCTCCTTTCTTCACCTTCTCCTTACAAAATCTATCAGGCAGGACATAAGAATTCTCACCTAAGCAGAGTGACTTATTTGAGAAACCAATGTTTAGAAACCCACTCTCCTGACATCTAGTCCACTTGAAAGTGGTTCAATACATGGTTGGCTTCTAAACACACCTTAGCTTTGCCTACTGCCTCCTCACTTTTGCTGCTGACTTTTCTCCTTTCTTTTTTTTAAATCTTTATATTGTGATTTGAGTGAAAGTTTGCATAGCAAATTGGTTTTTCCCTCAACTGTTGTTCATATGTGTTGTTTCAGGACACTGAGTGCAGTCCCCACAATGTAACATCACTCTTTCCCCTTCTTCCTTGTGGTTACCATTTCCATTTGTCCTTCTTTCCTATCCATTCCTGACTTCTGAGCTTTATGCCTGGGCAAATGCTAACCATTTGATCTCATGTGGTTTATTGTTCTAAGGATCACAGACCTCCCTGGTATTATTGTTCACCTGCATAAGCCCATCTATTATTGTTTGGCTAAAAATTGAGCCACAAAATTTCAGTTCCAGGTTTGAAGGGTAACACCCTCTCCATTCCTATTTGCCTATCCAATTCTTCCCTTTGCTTCCTGAGCTACCCAAATTCCAATCTGTCTAGAAACTTTTGAAAGTCAGCCTACACTCTTTCCTTCTTCATTCATAAAGTACTCCTTGCTTAGGTATCTGTATAAACTCCTTTATCTCCTACAGCCCAAAGACACCTTTTGCATTATTAGTGAACTTTTCCAGGGAATGTTCCTGTTTTCCTCACCAAACTGTGAGCTTCTAGAAAACAAGACTATGTTTCCATAATTGTTATTTCCTCTGTCCTTTCACTATCTCAGGCTATACAAAACACTTGGGA